CATAAGACCGGCCAACACAGTTGCCAAAGGATTCCACCTCCAGTTTCCAGAATTTATCCTAAGTCGTTTAATACTTTTGGAATCTCGAGTTTTGCAGCAAAAGACAATTTTTGCCTTTCTAGTAAACTGATTTCAGTTCAATTACATACGCTTGTCGTACCTTATACGACAAATGATTAACAAGTTTATTACGGTTTTGTTTATGTAGTCGACTTTGCCAAATTTTTACCGGCGACAAATTTTGTCGGCGGTGCGTCTGAAGATTTGTTCGCTTCACGCAAATGGAACAGGCGTATTTCGTAGGACTTTCATACGCGATTTGGCCAAAAATGTAAGTTGAATGTAACTAAATTTTGCGAAAATTGTTAAAATTCTGATCTGCATTGGCACAGCTGATTTAAATTTTTTCGTTGAAATAGTCTCTAGAGAAACATAACTAAAGCATATTATTAGTAAAAATACAGTTAAAAACAGTTTGACATGCTTTGCGCTCAGGCCTTAAAACCGGGCGGAAAAACTCGGTCCGTAACTTACAGTACATTCCTCGGACTTGGCTTATATGACCCATGTATTCGAAGTTTGGGTGCGTGATGGGTTCGGTGATTCTTTCTGGTTATAAAACCTTGTGCGCTGAGCCAAAAGGCAGCTGCCATGGGTAATTGCTATACCTCTATTCACGGAAACATTATCTTGCTTACCACTTTGATCACTCTCAAAAAAACAAATTGTAGATCGCTTTTTACCGGGCAAATTTAACAAAAAGTCGAATGTCAGAGACACGGTTTAAGAAAGTAGACAAATTTTCTTGGTGTGCTGTTGATTATATAACCAAACAAAATCTAGTGAAACCGTAGGGGAGATGCTTTGGCTAGATGGTGCTCGTCTCATAAATTTTGTAAATAATTACTGCCGACAGGTCTTTGATCAAACTAAAAACACAAGATGTGTGCATTAAGTTTTCTTCTTGGTCTTGTGGAACCTAGGGCTTTTGTTCATCTTTCCTGGTTTCGAAATCATGATTGGATTTGTCTATTTCATCTATCTAAAAGACACCAAAACAAAGCCAAATCGCCGGCACTGTCGCCCCCGACTCAGTTATATATCAAAATAAGATTTACATATCATTGTTATGATAGTTCGAAACACGAAAGTTCCAGAGAATCTGAATAATTCAGTCGTCATCAAAGGCTATTTTAACTGCTATTTTAATTTCAACGCAGGCTTATGAACTTGACAAGTTTAGTTTTGACTTTTATCATGATCGTCAATCTAAAAAATGAATTTTCTAATGTCCTCCAACCATGATCTACAAGATGTTCGCAATAAGTCTCTTCGGCTCCTACATCAACAACTTCGTTTGCAAGTTTATTTTGAGGGCCATTTTTCTACTTCCTCCGACGAACGGCTAACGCTCAAAACTTCAGCTTTTAAACTCTTTACGATGGCCAATTTACGTTATCAATTCAGTTCATAATACCAAATTACAACTGAAATTTTGCTTTCTAACCCTTTCTCAATGTACCAGTGAAATTCAATATAAAATAAAAGACTATAGTGTCTACTATTTGCCGTGTAAAATATGCTCGAACCTGTCAGAAGGAACTTCGTTCGAGCTTTAGAACCAACAAAATTGGATGAGAAGTGAAAAAGAGAACTAAAACAAGCATGTTAGTCAAGCCTATTTGTTGAACATTTTCAAAGCGTTTACCTTCAATTTATCTCCTTCCGCGTTTTGGGTGAAGTCAACTCGGGGCATAAAATGAAAATGGCGTCTGAACAAAACTGCTTCTCGGAAATCACGTGAGTAAAAGTTCCCTTTTATGGCCTTATTATATTGAGCTCTGCCAAATAAAGCCATGGAAGGCCCGATGACCAACCACAGCACAGGAAAGGAGCTTTCACTGTCACCCACGCTCCTTTCCCACGAACAGCAGTTACTGAGACTTTGTTTAGGTTGAAATCGAGATATGGAAATAACATTGAAAGGGAAAGGTCGAGCCCTTGACTTTTGGCCTGCTCAAATGTAATCCGTTTCAGCCTTCTATTTTATCGTAATCATGCTTTCTTATAGCGTGTCTGCGTTTCTGTTCATCAGTTACAGAATGGCCTCCCCCTTTACCTATCTAAGCGTTCTTTCTTGCCTAAGGAGTCTGGAAACAACCGCACGCACGCAGTCCCGCCTCCCTCCCCTTCCCTCCTGTAGGAGGCCACTTGAGGTTGTTTCAGGTTATCTTTTGAAATACTTGAAAATTGCCTTGAAATTATGAGTAAAATTGCCTCGAGCAATTTCGTAAAAAGGCACCTCAAACGGCTCATGAAGGCGAAAAAATACCACAAATGAGTAAGTTAACATTTCATTTAACTTTATTGAGATATTCAGACCGAGATGTAAATTAGATATGCAATGTTCAGAGCTTTATTCATAACTCTCATAGATTTTATTTGTCTCATGTCAACAACTATTAACCACAAACACATAGTGTGGTCTGCCTGTGTGATCAGCAATGTTTATATCATCATGTTTGTACGCAGAATAAGAAAGATGGTAAATTTTGAGCTTGGTAAATAAATAATGAAAGATTTTATTTACTGTTGTTATTAGCATGGGACCAAGAAAAAAATCTGAGTTCCCATTAGGAATCAAACATCAGCACTTTGGTTATACACTCTGCTGCTCTGCCAATTGCCATCCTTCTTAGGTGCTGAACATGAATGCTAGGCTATAAGTAATTGAAGTTAAGAAACATGGAAGATTATTGCTCTTTTGTTTTGATAAAATCTAATTGCAAACTAGCAAACAGGACTGGGATTAATGTTTGCTTGAAGTCAATACCCCTATGACCTTCTGGCTGCTTTTAATTAATATTTTTTATTGAAGTTAACATTTCCCAGACTTATTTGATTAAGTGCCCAACTTCGAATAAGC